TGTGTGTGTGTGTGTGTGTGTGTGTGTGTGTGTGTGTGTAGATCAGTGGACAACTTGTGGGACTCAGTTTTCTCTTCCTACCACATGAGCCCTGGGGGTTGTTGACTCAGGTCATCAAATTTGACAGCACATGTCTTTATCCACTGAGCCATGCCGCAGTTAAGGAAAGATATCTAGGTCACTCTGTGGTACTAAGGAATTGCTTTTGTCACCTGCTTGATGCACTTGTTCTTCATCCCAGCCTCCTGCAACCTTTCCCTGCATTACTGCACTCTTTCATTTGCCAATTTCTTTCCGGTGCCTTGGTAAGTTTGCTATACCAGAGGGATGAAAATTCACTCTTACTAAGACCACGGAGATGTTTCAACAGATAATAGGACATGGATCCAGCCTTATGCCCTGAGCTCCATCCCACAACCTACATGGTGAAAGGTGAGAATGGACTCCTGGAAGTTGTCCTCTGACCTCCACATATGCACCGTTGTTGCACACACATTCTGACATACTTACTGAACCCAGAAGTTTTCTCCAGTCCTGCAGAATCTCTTGACCCATGTCCCACAGCTGCTTGGTCCCAAATAAACATAAAGAGGCTTATATTATTTACAAATAATAAGGTCTAATGGCTCAGGCTTCACACTAGCTAGCTCTTACATCTTAAATTAATCCATTTCTATAAATCTATAGTTTGCTACATGCCTTGTGGCTTACTGGTACTTTTACATCTTGCTTCTCCTGGCATCAGCTAGCAGCATCTCCTCCCTCTGCCTTTCTCCTTCCTCTCTCTCTGGTTGGAATGTTCTGCCTAACCTTATTCTGCCTCACCACTGGCCAAACAGCTTTATTTATCCACCAGTCAGAGTAACACACATTCACAGCATACAGAATGACATCACCCATCAACTTACAAACTAAAACAAATAACTAAATGTAAAAAAAAAATTTAAAAGGCGAATGGATAATCTAACATTAACCTCTGCCCCCTACATATACATGTGCATGCACATTTGCACACCTATGTGCATACACAGGCATATGCCACCCACCCTGCTACACACACCCCATCCCCACACAATTTTCACCATGATAATTTTAAAAAGATTTCTCTCCCTATCTCTCTCTTCCCCTGCCCCTCTTGAGTTAGGATAGTTCCAGATTTTAGTGCATTGTTTCTGAAACCCATCAGCACACATTAACTTAGGTT